GCTCTTGCCCGTGGCCCCCAGCTGGGCGTGGGAAAACGCTCTTCTGCTGTGCTGTGCGTGAAGGTGGGGGCGCAGGAGGCCCAGCCCCCCTTCCCACACCCACCCTGCCCAGGTACCTGACCCGCGGTCACCGGCCGGGACTGGGGGTGCTGCCCGCACCCACCGAGCAGGGTGCCACCCCGCCGGGCCCCCCCATGGAGCCGGGAGCCAGGTCCGTCTGTGGCTGGTCTGAGCGGCCCGCTCTGCCCCGTGACAGCGCGGCCCAGGGCCACGTGCCCAGAGATCCACCGTGGGTACAGGCGGTGGCTGTTTACTGACAGCTGCTGCCCCCCAGCACCTCAGGAAGAAAGGGGCAAGACCCCAGAGGGGCCCGGCAGCCCTGACAGCCTCTTCATGGGGCCGAGGCACCACCTCCCCGGGGGCAGAGGTGACGCCGGGCGCTCGGGCGGCAGCGGCAGCGCCCTGGGCTGTTTGGACTGAGGCAGCTTGACCCAGGGAGGTGCCCGCCCACCCCCACGGGCCTGCGCGAGGGTGCCCGTGTCCACCCTGTGGAGGGAAGCTCTGAGCCCGAAAGGGGCTCTGGCCCGGGCCTGGCACTGGCCGCGCAGGGCGCGTGGGCAGGCGGCAGGAGCGCGGCACTGTCTCCACGAAGGAACCCGCTGCCCTCGCACACGCGGCCCTGCAGTGTGGCTCCCAGCACCGGGGAGACAGGTCCAAGCTGTCTGAGACGTGGGTCCTCCGGGCCAGGGGCCGCCCCGGGTCAGAGCAGGACAGCCAGGGCTGGCCGGTGTGCACTTGGGGGGAGCGGGTGGGGGAGCCCGCTGGTACCTGCATCCTGGCCACCTCGTGGTCCACCCTCATGCTGGCCTCCGCCTGGCCCTTCTGCAGGGCCCCATGGGCCACTGCGCGGTCCTGCTCCTCCTGCTGCAGCTGCTCCGTCAGCTTGGCCAGGCTGGGGCGAGGGCCAGGGTCTCACCGCCCAGCCGGACCGGGGGGGCCCGACACCAAGGGGCCCAATGGGTTGGGGTCTGTGCCCGGGTGCCAGAGGCAGGGAGCAGGCGGTGCCCAGCACTGGGCGGGGGGCAGACGGGCGAGAGGCCGACACCCGCGCCACCCCGGCCCGGCTGTGCGTGTGGCTGTCGGGGACGGCGGGGCGGGGCCTGGCTGCCTGGGCCCAGAGGACCGCTCAGGCCGGGTCGGGAGCCCGCGCCGAGGGGTGCTCGGTGCCCACCTGAGGGCGACCTCCTGCTGGGCAGCCTTCCGCTCGGAGTCCTGGTGCACCTGCTTCCTCCTGATCTGGCTCAGGGCCTCCCTGACCTCCACCAGCCTGGCGTGCAAACAGCGCCGTGCCCGCGGCCGCCTTCCTCAGCCTCCGCCGCCCTTCGGGCGTGGGCACCCCGGAGGGCCAGCCCGGCCCTGCTTCCCGGCCCCTGCCCCGCTCAGCCGCGCCCCAGTGCTCGGTACCTCTTGTCCAGGGCCTGCATCTGGTTCTGGTTCTGGGGGTTCGGGAGCTGCAAAGAGGGTGTGAGCGTGGCGGC